ATCTACTTCAGTATTTAATCCTCTCTGTTTGTTTTCCTATTTACTAGTGCGAGTCTTAATACAAAAGCCATCAATAGAAAAATGCAGAGTGGATATTCCAAGGATCATGGCTAGCTCAACAGGTAATCATTGACCAAGGTTTCTGTCTCAAAGAAACACACATAGGTCTACATTAATCATAAACTAGTTGGCCTATTAGCTCAGACATTTTTTTTTAATTCTTATGTCTTAACCCATAATTCTTATCTGTGTTAGCCACGTGGCTTGGTACCTTTCATCAGCTAGGCATTCTCGTCTATGTCTGGATAACGACTGCAGACTGAATCTTTCCTCTTCCCAGAATTCTCCTGTTTTCATTGCGCCCCCCTCACATTTCCTGCCTGGTTGCCCCACCTCTACTTCCTGCCTGGCTAGTGGACAACATTTTATTAAACAAATACAAGAAACAAATCTTTACAGGGTAAAACCATTGTCCCAAGGAAGGTAATTTTTGCAGCATCATTTTCCCAAGAATAACAGTTGACACTTGCTATTTATAAGAGCTTACATCAGCAGAGGCTTCAAGCTCTCACTGATGAAGACAGAACCATGGTCTTACGTTAGAGGAAATTGCAATATAGAAACTTATCGAGGTCTAATGACTGGTAGTTGATACTGCTGGGAACTTCTTTGAAACTATGTGACCTTGAAGCCTGAGATATTGATTACTTTGCCATGCTGCCTCTAATGCTACCACACTAGACCAATAACTTTAAAAATATCCTAATAGAATATTTGTTTTAACAATTGTGTTAAAGTTAGCTTTGTCTAGTTGATTGAAAGAAACGAAAATGAATTCCTTGTTTTTTTATTTCTTTGATGTGTCATAACAGTGATCTTGTCCCAGCACGTGTTACTAAAAGTTACTAAAAGTGTGTGTTAGTAAAAGTAACTACTGTGTGTAACTGGCTGTGCTGCAGCAGGGACAGGGTGGAAATTTACCATGTCTGCTCCTCACTTCAGAGAGTCCAATTCAGCTAAAGTGCCCCAAAGACTGGCTGCCACACCAAAACAAATGCCTACAATTTTCTCAAGAGACCAGTGTTTGGAAGGAAGGTCTATCTGACTGCGCTAGAAAAGAAGCCACTTTGCTGCTCATTCAGGATGAAGAAGAACTAGTAAGTTGTTCTATAAAATAGAGGTGTAAGCATTTCTGGAAGCTATATCAATGTCTCCTGATTTAACAGATCTTCCATGTAAGGGAAGTGGAGACTTTGCATTATGGAAGCTCATAGTCTGAGAGACTAATGGGATATGTGAGCCAATAACTGCACATGTAAGGTGAGTGTCCTAGGATCGTAAATGCTGGGCACAGATTCCTGAAGGGAGGAAGAATGAACTGTGCTGAGGACTCAGGATGGACACAGGTGACACTTGACCTAGGTATCAGGAGACTGTCGAATATGAATCACAGCACACAGACTCAGGTTAAGTCCTCTCCTCTTCTTTGATTGTAGAGATTTGTAAAGAACTTTGCAAGGGAAAAAGGCAATTCATTTTGGATTGGACTAAGTTACNTGCTCTCAGAGACACACACAATGAAGCTCCAACTCAGGATGGACATAGGCTAGAATCTTCCTGGTAAGCGCACCTTGGGGTGCTTACACACATTATTAGAAATGGGCTAGTCCAGGTGCGAGAGTTAGCCAAGAAGAGGCTAGATATAATGGGAAAGCAGTGTTTAAAAGAATACAATTTGTGTGTTGTTATTTTGGGCATGGGCTAGCAGGCGGCCAGGGTGCTGGGGACGCAGCCCCGCCGCTCTTATTTCAACAGTCTAGTTGATTGAAAGAAACGAAAATGAATTCCTTGTTGTTTATATTTCTTTGATGTGTCATAACAGTGATCTTGTCCCAGCACATGTTACTAAAAGTTACTAAAAGTGTATGTTAGCAAAGTAACTACTGTGTGTAACTGGCTGTGCTGCAGCAGGGATAGGGTGGAAATTTACAATGTCTGCTCCTCACTTCAGAGAGTCCAATTCAGCTAAAGTGCCCCAACGACTGGCTGCCACACCAAAACAAATGCCTACAATTTTCTCAAGAGACCAGTGTTTGGAAGGAAGGTCTATCTGACTGCGCTAGAAAAGGAGCCACTTTGCTGCTCATTCAAGACCAAGAAGAACTGGTAAGTTGTTCTATAAAATAGAGGTGTAAGCATGTTCTGGAAGCTATATCAATATCTCCTGATTTAACAGATCTTCCATGTAAGGGAAGTGGAGACTTTGCATTATGGAAGCTCATAGTCTGAGAGACTAATGGGACATGTTAGCCAATAGATGCATGTGTAAGGTCCTAGGATCATAAATGCTGGGCACAGATTCCTCAAGGGAGGAAGAATGAACTGTGCTGAGGACTCAGGACGAACACAGGTGACACTTGACCTAGGTGTCGGGAGGCTGTGGAATATGAGTCACAGCACACAGGCTCAGGTTAAGTCCTCTCCTCTTCTTTGATCGTAGAGATTTGTAAAGAACTCTGCAAGGGAAAAAGGCAATTCATTTTGGATTGGACTAAGTTACTCCATGTCAGAGAAGCACTGGAGATGGATAAACGGCTCCACTTTAAGTTCTGNGGTAGCTCACAAAGAAGCATTTTGCTCTCAGTATCTTGCCACTTTCTTATTAGATGAGATTGTCATGGTAACTGTGCAATGAGAGACCTGACATTTCAGAATCAAATTATATTTTAACAGAATTCATTATTTTTTGTATAACAAGAGCAAAATATTCATGCAAAAGGATGTAAGATTCAGTCAAATTTCTCTACGGTGATTTTTATGAGGTTATCAGGAGTGATATTGAGAATCATTTTATTAATCTTGTTTGAATAAACTTAAGCAAATGTTACAAGAAAATGAACTTCTTATCCAGAACAGAAAAGATTGAAATGTAAAATACTGATTTAGATTTACTCAAAATGTAATGAGCCTTTATTAATTATAGAAATTGTTGAACATAAAAAGTTGGCACAGAGTAGAAAAATATATCTGAAATGTATGGATTAATCTTGGCTGCTCTGTCCTTTACTCTGAGGACAAAATCTCTCTGATTAGACTAAAGGGATTGAGAAGCCTGGAGGCTGCTGTGCTCAGTAGGAAGTGTCAATCAAGGAAGCCCCGCCTTTGCTTTAACTCTCTGACCCTGACTTCAGGTAAGGGAGAAAGAGAGAGAGAGTAACAGTTTCCCCACAGGGTTATTTGGGGATTAATAAGGAATGTCAGAGAATTTTCCAGGAGTCTAGTAGGAGAAGGCCTGGGAGGCCTTAAAGGGATGTGAAAGGAAGTCCTTGAC